CCTGTAATCCCAGCATTATGGGAAGCCTAGGTCGGTGGATCATTTGAGGTCAGGAGTTTGAGACCAGCCTGGCCAAGATGGTGAAACCTCATCTCAACTAAAAAATACAAAAATTAGCTGGGCATGGGGGTGGCTGCCTGTAATCCCAGCTATTTGGGAGGCTGAAGTAGGAGAATCACTTGAACCTGGGAGATGGAGGTTACAGTGAGCCAAGATCACGCCACTGCACTCTAGTCTGGGCAACAGAGAGAGGCATTGTCTCAAAACAAAAAAACAAAAACAAAACAAAACGAAACAAAAAAAGAAAATTCAGAAAGAAAAATTCTTGTTGTACCATGCACCACTGCCTTTATACCAGTTGTCACCATTATAATTTTATGCTAACTTGCATAATCTTCATTAATGTTTTTTTCCTTTACCAGAGCTCCATGAGGCAGGAAATATGTATTTTTATCCCCTATGTATAGCAATGTGCCTACCTATAGTGCACACTTAAAAAATATTTGAATTAAGAGGCCAGGCGCGGTGGCTCACGCCTGTAATCTCAGAACTTTGGGAGGCTGAGGCAGGTGGATCACTTGAAGTCAGGAGCTCAAGACTAGCCTGGCCAACATGGTGAAACCTCATCTCTACTAAACATACAAAAATTAACTTGGCGAGGTGGCGCATGCCTGTAATCCTAGCTATTCAGGAGGCTGAGGCACAAGAATCACTTGAATCTGGGAGGCGGGTGTTGCAGTGTGCTTAGATCACCCCATTGCACTCCACCCTGGGTAACAAAGCGAGTCTCAAAAAAAAAAAAAAAATTGAATTAAAAAATTAGCCGGGAAGGGTCCGGGGGCGGTGGCTCACGCCTGTCATCTCAGCACTTTGGGAGGCCAAGGCGGGCAGATCATGAGGTCAGGAGATCGAGACCATCCTGGCTAACACGGTAAAACCCCGTGTCTACTAAAAATACAAAAAATTAGCCAGGCGTGGTGGTGGGCGCCTGTAGTCCCAGCTACTCGGGAGGCTGAGGCAGGAGAATGGCGTGAACCTGGGAGGTGGAGCTTGCAGTGAGCCAAGATCTGCACCCCAGCCTGGGCGACAGAGCAAGACTCTGTCTCAAAGAAAAAAAAAAAAAAAAAAAAATTAGCCGACTGGCCAGGTATGGTAGTTCGTGCCTGTAATCCCAGTACTTTGGGAGGCTGAGGTGGGTGGATTACCTGAGGTCAGGAGTTCGAGACCAGCCTGGTCAACATAGTGAAACCCCATCCCTACTAAAATACAAAAATTAGCCGGACATGGTGACATGCCACTGTAATCCCAGCTACTCGGAAGGCTGAAGCAGGAGAATCGCTTGAGCCCAGGATGCGAAGGTTGCAGTGAGCCGAGATTGCACCATTGTACTCCAGCCTGGGCAACAGACTCTGTCTCCAAAAAAGAATTAGCTGAGCATGGTGGCACACACCTGTAGTCTCAGCTACTTGGAAGGTTGAAGTGGGAGGGTTGCTTGAGCCTGGGAGGCAGACTACAGTGGGCTGAGATCACACCACTGCACTCCAACCTGGGTGATAGAGCGAGTCCCTGTCTCAAAATAAAAATAAAAATAGGCCAGGAGTGATGGCTCATGCCTGGAATCCCAGCACTTTGGGAGGCTGAGGCAGACAGATCACTTGAGGTCGGGAGTTTGAGACCAGCCTGGCCAAAATGGTGAAACCCCATCTCTACTAAAAAGTACAAAAAATTAGCTGGGCGTGGTGGTGTGCGCCTATAATCCCAGCTACTTGGAAGCTGAGGTGGAAGAATTGCTGGAACCCAGGAGGCCGAGGCTGCAGTGAGCCAAGATCATGCCATTGTACTCCAGCCTGGAGACAGAGCGAGACTCCATCTACAAAAAAATAAAAAATAAAAATAAAATATTTGTTGAATGAATGAACTATGTGACAGAGAAATGTCACCCAGCTGTTAGGAAGGAGAGGCATTCATAAAATAGCCTCAAAAACTGTCTCCTTTCCTTTTTATCTAATTCTATTCTCACCAAGTAAACTTTTTGATTTTTAATCTAGTTTCCTAGGTCAATCAAATTGGGAAGGGAACCAGAAAAAGTCCTGGTTCCCAAGATCCCACATAATAGAGGTAAAGGATAAGAATCCTAAAATCAAACAGCTTTAGAGATGAGTCCCAGCTCTGGCACTTACTAGTATAGTAAAACTGGGCAATTCACTTCAATGCTGAACTCAGTTTTCTCATCTACAACATGGGTAACAGCCTTGAATCTGTCACACATAAGGTTAATGACTTAATGAAATACAGAACACAACATATCTCCTGGGTTATTTTTTGTTACTATTATTATATTATTGCTATTAGTTTACAAATATTGAAAGTTATATGAATAATAATGTGAGAGGGACCAAATATTTAAATGGCTTCAAAAGTCCCTCCAGCTCTAATAATTAGGATTCCACTATGTTGACAACAATTAATAATTTTCTTTTTGAAAAATACCTGAATTCGCCGGGCGTGGTGGCTCACGCCTGTAAGCTCAACACTTTGGGAGGGGGCGGGCGGATCATGAGGTCAGGAGTTCGAGACCAGCCTGACCAATATGGTGAAACCTGTCTCGACTAAAAATACAAAAATCAGCCGTGCATGGTGGCGCACGCCTGTAGCCCCGGCTACTTGGGAAGCTGAGGCAGAAGAATTGCTTGAACCTGGGAGGTGAAGGTTGCAGTGACACAAGATCACATCACTGGACTCCAGCATGGGCGACAAAATGAGACTTTGTCTCACCAAAAAAAAAAAAAGAAAAGAAAAGAAAAGAAAATCACCTGAATCTTGTGTGAAACTAGAACATGAGAGACCTAAAGAACTCTAGCCCCAACAAACTGCATTCATGAAAAGTCATTCTTGGAAAAACACTACCAAAGGGCCAGGAGGGTGTAATTTGTAAAGGAATAATAACATGGCTTTGTCATCTGCTTTGCTTTTTCTCTGGGGTTTCTTGGTGTGTGGTGAACTCTAGTTCTGAAGCAGGTTGTAATAAGCCAATCCTAATCTCTAAATTTGGGAGATCCCCTTAAATCTTTCCACATGGCCGGGCGCGGTGGCTCAAGCCTGTAATCCCAGCACTTTGGGAGGCCGAGACGGGCGGATCACGAGGTCAGGAGATCGAGACCATCCTGGCTGGCTAACACCGTGAAACCCCCGTCTCTACTAAAAATACAAAAAACTAAGCCGGGGCGAGTGGCAGGCGCAATGTATCCCAGGATACTCCGGGAGGGCCCGAGGCAGGAGAAGTGGCGTGAAACTACCAGGAGGCCGAGCTTGCAGGTGAGCTGAGAAATCCGCGGCCACTGCACTACACAGCCCCTGGGCCGACGGACTTGCAAGACTCCATTCTCAAAAACAAAAAAAAATCTTTTCCACCATGCTCCCCTACATTAGACCTCTGGCCAAGTAACCATGGGCAACAGAGGTTTTATGGTTTGGTACAGCCTAGTTTTTTGTTGTTGTTGTTTAAGAAAATGGAGGTTTTGCCATGCTGCCAGGCTGGCTTGAATCTGGCCTGCCTCAAATGGACTGCCCACCTAGCCTCCTAATGTGCTGGGAATTACAGGCATGGAGCCGCTATGCTGACCCAGGCTGTTTTC